GTAACATACTCGCTTAAAAAACAATAGAATCGATCACACAAAGAAGATATTACGTTTTATAAGGTGAACCAACTTTGCCGAGCATGCGTCCATTAAAGTAATCAGCCACCACGAGTTGTAACTAACGAAATTAAATCTTTATCTCTTTCTTTATTTGCCTTTTTCATATTTGCCTTTTTTATAAGTATGGTAAAACATGATAATAGACAAATTAGGAAACCAAAAATAGCGTAAAAGTTTATCAAGTCTGATTTCACTTATATAAAACAATAATGGTGATTCATTAAAATAAAGGCGTACACTAATATATTTACATTTTCATATGGAAGAAAAACGTACATTATACAATATTGAAATATTTTGCTTATGTACCTGAAAAATAATACTTTCTCACCGATTTTATGAACTTATATTTTAAGTTAATAGATTTTAAATGATAAGGTAAAAGTTATTCCAAAGTTTTGCACCTGCAAATGACATTGCAAATTGGCCAGTGACTGTGTTCATTTTCTTTACATACAAATTATTTGCATACTTAAATCTTATATTTTGACAATGAGCTAAAGTTTCAAAATAATAATTTAAACTATATGGTGAATAAAGATGATTTGAATCAAATACAAATAAGTTTACTTTAAATTTATGGGAGTTCATAAATATCTAAAAGGCCTAGTTGAGCAAATAAGGGAGATGATGGTTCCCTAAACCCAGAAAATGCTATGCAACGCATACACATCTTCCGGGAAATTAAAATAGGGTGTAAGTTTGTAAAAAATGTATTATCCCAGACTTCTAAACCGTATGTTAAATTTGTTGTATAAATGCTTTATATAATGAAATTAAAATATAATGTGGTACAAAGCTTCTTAGTTTAAATAATACTCCCGATTTCTTTCGAATAAATTGATAAACTTCTTTAATGAGTGCTTTCCAAGTTAAGTGTTTGTCTATGGTAACCCCAACAAAATACATTTCATCTACGTCACTTATATTATGGCATTTGACAGATAAACATCCATGCAAAGAAATAGGTTTACCCTTTCCATGAAAAAATAATATAATTAGTTTTATTTACGTTTATGGTTTCCTTGTTTGCATCACACCAATCAATATTCTTTTTAAATTGATAATTAACTAAAGACAGATTTATAGTGCTTACTTCTTTTGGAAAATTATGAAATAAATTTGAATCATCTGCAAATAATCGGAAATCAAAATATTTAGGTGAATTCAGTAAATCAATAATGTAAATTAAGAATAATGTTAGACCAAGTGTTGACGATCCATGCGGTACTCCACAGATCACAATGGCTGCTTCAGAGCGACTCCATTACAGATACAAATTGTGACCTTTGACTTATATAATCTGAAAGCCAAAGCAATAGATTTTCTCTAACTCCATAATGCTTGAGTTTAGAAAGTAAAATGATGTGGTTAATGGTGTCAAAGCCTTTATAAAATCTATAAATATTCCAATGGTCGAATTTCTTTTATTAATTTGTCAGAAGTTATTAGTTGAATTAATTAAAGATAATTTTGCACTGTGTTTTTCACGGAAACCATATTGGTGTTTGTAAAATAAATTAAACTTTTCAAAGAAATTCATTAATCTGTTGTTTACAATGTTTTCTAATAGCTTGCTAAGAAGAGGTAATACCGAAATTGGGCGGTAATTTGGGAAAAAACTGCCTTTGACCCATTCTTATATATTGATGTTACCCTTGCTACCTTTAATGCTGCTGGAAACGTGAACTGTGTAAAGGAAAATTAGAGATAAAACATAAAGGTTCTGCAGTATAATCAGCTGCAGCTTTAAGGAACTTTGCAGGTAATTTATCGTATCCAGAAGATTTATTTATATCTAAACCTCTTTAGCCACTTCTGTAGCTGTACTTGGATGTAAAAAGAAGCATTTTTTATGGAGTTTATTACAAAATCATGAAACGTCTTCGTTGTTTACTTTATCTATGTTTTGCTAAACAATCCAAGTATAAACTGTCATTAACCATACACGAATAAAACGTATTATAATGTAGACCAGCATATATATATATAAAATTCAATACCTAATCAAGCGGTCCGAACGCAAAAACCATACTATTTTCTGAGTATCTATTTTACTAATTTTTCGATGGTTAGAATTTCTGAAATGAAGGGCAGGTTTTACCATTATCCTCAAGATAGCCACACATGATACATGGAGTTAAATTACTTTGAGGTCTTAATCGATTTACTGTAGTGTGTGTTGTCAACATCCTGCAAATTTTGCACGAGCAATCTCGAAGAAGAAGCGAATAATAATATCTGAAGATTGTTAACGTAGAACAGAGAGGATTTTGGTAAATTTCTAAGTATGTTGTCTTTTTCATTAAAACATGATTTTGTTTAAATCGAATCCAATTATTGGATTTGATTTAAGCAACATTATTTTATTACAGTTCATATCTAATAATATGGCATGATACACACATGTCATATAAATATAGACTTACCGGTATAAGACCTAAATTTACGATACGCATATGAAATATAATATATAGGTCTATATGAATTTATATAGATATATACAGACATAGGCCAATATATCGTGTAAAATATTAGAATACATAATAATCGAAGGTTGATTATTATGATAAAATAATAATAATAATAATAAGTCAATTATAATTAATTGCGCCTATATATTATTATTATTAATATTATTTCCATTAACATTATTAGAATATATGATAATCGAAGGTTGACTATTATAATAAAATAATAATAATAATAATTAATTGCGCCTATTATTATTAATATTATTTCCATTATTATTATTATTATTATTATTATTATTGTGTGATTCATTTCATTTTTTTAGTCTCTCATTCCATGCTTGTAGCAACTATTTCTAAATATTGATTAAGGAGTTTTCGTTGTAGAATAGACGATATTGATGGGGATTGAACTTTAAAGAAATTAGAAGCTGAGTATGGTATTAATCACACATTTTACAAACCGTTTTTATAGTTTGAAAGTAATCCCATGTAAGTTTGACCGAAGAGTATGCGATTCATCTGCCTTATTTATTGTATAAAGATGAATAGTTCACTACCGCATGAGAAAAAAGGGATAACGCAATGAATCATATATTGAACTAAAGTTCCATGTACTGAATAAGTGTTATACGTCATAGGTCTTTATACCATTGTTGGCTAAATCTTCTAGAGAAATGACTGAAAAGGAATACACATAAATCATATTGCAATAATTCGATAGATCTAAGTCTATGATCGTATAATTCGGTCCTTTCGCCGAGTGAATTATGAACGAAATGTGAGGTAATCTACTGGGCGAGAATTAATCTTTGAAGATGAAAGACTGGCATCAAACGATTCAAGGAGATCATGCAGTATTAAGTAAAGGTAACTTAAGGTGGAGAATAACTGTCATTAGGCGCATCAACGCTGCTTATCATTCAGAATCCACGGCTAAAGATCTTAAAAGACTTCTGTCGTTCGAGAGCAAATTGAAATTTCATCAATGTGTACTTTGCAGACTGTGACCTCCTTGTCTGTTAAATATCATATTCATTAATCATGTCCTGATTTAGGCCTATAAATGCTTTGTTTACAAATACATACATCTACTTTTGAAAGTTTTAAATTACTCAAGACAGACTTTTAATTCGAACTGCTTTTTGAAGTTTCAGTAATACAAAGTTGGCCGCTGTAAACATTAAAAACGACTGATTGATGATGCATCGTAGACTAAGGACGCCATTTTATCACCATTTAAAAGGGTTGTGTAGTTGACTTAAGTTGTTGCCATGTTCAACCAATTGTATTAGGTGGAAGAGTAGGTCGTATGAAAAAAAAATGTTATGTTATGAATATTATGACTTTTAACTTACGTCATAATTGCTGAATGTTATTTCCGAATGCTGTAAAATTATGGATAGTTATGACGTCATCAGTGAATCTAAAGAATCATACTTGGCTACAGCTGCTGCTTATGTTTTTAAAGAAAAGCTTTGTTGATGGTTCAGAGTATCCGTTTAATATTTAAAGTGATTTGGTAGTTATATGTTTGCCTTAATGATAGATCGACCTCGCTTCAGTCCTTATATCGACACTGATATGCATACATCAGTATCACTGCAATCGCTTAAGCTAATACAAGTATATTCAGCATGTTAAGGCGTATCAAGGTAAAAACAAAAATATGACTATGCATAGTTCATAAATAGTAGGGCCTGGGGTCTAATGCGTGTTTGGTTGGCCTCAGGGCTATAATTAGGGAGAGCAGAATAGTGCATGAACAAAGTGTACAGTACTACAATAATCCATAAATATCCCTTTGACCCTCATGGTTTACCTTCTCCAGCTACTCTCCTGGTGAAATTCCTGAAATCCGCACCGCTTTCGGAAGGGACGTTTTAAAACACTGGTACCATGTCCAACGTGGTTATTTGCCCGAGAGGCCTACACTATTTGGAAAGAGCAATAAATGGGCCGTTCCTCTAAGCCTTATACCTTAGACGTTGTTGCTAAGGTACCACAAAGCGGCTGCGTATACATACGTAAACACGTACGCTTCTGGGACAACATGTGTGTTTGTGAGACAATTCCGTATTTCTGTTGTGATTGGTCAGTAGTTAAGTTTGATTGAAACTTCTGAAAGGTCAATTGTCTCCCCGTGTACTGACAACCAATAAGTGCCGCGTCACAAGAGCCCAACTATTCTTTATTACTCAACTTACTGACTTAGTTTTAACTTTATTTTTGCCTTTATTTATCACGTGATTTGATTTTATAATCATATTGTATTGGATATTTCACGTCTGAAAACTAAATCTATGAATTTCTAATTTTTAAATTAGTAATTAACATTTGTAATTAAATTCATAGATTTCTAATGAAAGCATCTAAAATTAGCAAAATTTAGTAATTTTCATTTTTGTTATTGTTTCAGGGGTGAAATATCCAACAGAATATTCGACCCAATTTGTTAAGAACAAGATGGAATCTATACACGAAGTAGGTTCAGGTATTCGAGACCGTTTGGCAGCGTTCATAGAAAGACTTCGTGAACAAGAAACTCAGCGAAGGCTCATTCTAGCTATCGTATGTATAGCTCTTCTTTTGGACAGTATGCTTTACGTTGTTATTGTTCCGATTATTCCCGACTATCTACGTAGTGAATGGGACGGCAAGGGAAATGATGAATCGGGCGAAACGTCCAATGGTACCTCCGACGATAATAGCGGTGCAAAAATTGGATTCCTATTTGCATCAAAAGCAATAATTCAATTAATTGTTAACCCATTTGCTGGAACTCTCATCGACAGAGTCGGATACGATATTCCTATGATAATAGGTCTGCTTGTTATGTTTCTTGCAACATTGGTTTATGCATTTGGAAAAACATACGGTATATTGTTTTTTGCTCGAAGCCTCCAAGGAATTGGCTCAGCCTTCGCGTATTCATCTGGGCTAGCTATGATCGCGGACAGATATCAAAAAGAGGAAGAGCGTAGTAAAGCAATGGGAATCGCTCTAGCTTTTATGTCATTTGGATACCTTGTTGCCCCGCCGTTTGGGGGTATATTCTATGAATTTACAGGCAAAAAAGCACCTTTCATTATTCTGGCGTTTGTTGCTCTCTTCAACGCTACACTGTTGTTAACTATCACAAACCCTTCTGCTACGAACCGTCACTGGACTAAGGAAAAAGGAACACCGATATACAAGCTAATTCTAGATCCATATATCCTTGTAGCCGCGGGGGCACTTTCAATGAGCTATGTCCCACTGGCTTCTTTGGAACCCACTATAGCCCTCTGGATGGAAGATACAATGCATGCATCAAGTTGGCAAAGCGGAATAATATGGTTGCCTGCATTTATACCTCACGTAATTGGCGTTGTGATCATTGTCAAGTTAACCCAGTCGAGACCAGAGTACCAATGGTTATACGCTGCCATGGGCCTGGTTGTTATCGGCATATTTATTGTGATTGTACCCTTCTGTAAGACTGTTGGAGTTCTCATCATACCCCTATGCGGCATATGCTTTGGGATAGCGTTAGTCGATACCGCAGTACTACCTACGCTCGCGTTCCTCGTCGACGTACGCCACGTATCAGTTTACGGTAGCGTTTACGCTTTGGCTGATATTTCCTACTGCATTGCCTATTTCCTAGGACCTATTTTAGCTGGACAGATTGCAGCTGGAGCAGGGTTTCTCACTATGAATATATGCTTAGCTTTGGCTAGTTTCCTTTATGCGCCAGTTTTATTTACCCTCCGTAAGGTCCATTACATGGAGCCGGCAAACCAGGAGGTAACGGTACTACTTAATGAAGACCCGCTAGGAAACCAATACCGAGCAACTGATTCAGACTTTAGTACTAACATCAAAATTCAATCGCAAGGGGCTTCACTTGCCTCGCAGCCAAATGGCTACCCTCCAAATAAACAGAATGGAAACACCACTTTTGATGGGAATGTACAGCAAGCGCCACCAACGCATATAGAAAATGAAAATTTTCACCATAGACGTATTTCAAGAAGTGGAGAAAATGGATCTGATCAAGAATAGTTAATTAGATCATCACTTTATCAAGCTATAAAAGAAAAATAAATGTTAATAAAGATATAATCAAATGAAAGAAAGTTTATTATTAAGGTCTAAGGAAGTAAGTTTAGGGTGTTGCTCTAAACAAATTGAAAAAAGAATATTGTTAAATAGCTCATTGATTTTATTCCACAAAATCAATAAAAGCGACGTGACAAACAGAAACACAGCAAACTGAGTGATCATTACTCAAATTTAAGGTAATAATGTAATTGTTTAAATATCCAGGTGTTGATTTAATGTTTTATAGATTTTAATTAGGATTCTGATATCAAATGTCAGCAGAGGTAGATCAGAAGTAAGCGTGAGAACTTCCCATAGGTCTTGTAACAGTCGCAACTCCATGAACCTGCATTCGTAAATGTGTATTTTTGTAATTAGTTTCTAAAAAATATTTCAGTTGTTATTGATGAGACAAACCCCGTCCAAAATCATTTAATTTTAATGAGCACTGATCAAAAGTTTTCTTATATTTATTAAGATTTTTAATTTGTTTTTCATATCTTAAAATATTAATTTCGTTACGAAAACATGGCAAAACTTTAGCCTAGGAAGCCTATTTCGTAACGTACGATTTTTTGATGCGGCTAGTTATTTTTGATACTGTTTTCACAAAGTGTAAACTTACTATTAAAACAATTATCAGTATAATGGAGTTCCGTAGGCTTGGTTCACATTAGAAGGATGTAGACAAGACGCACTGACGTAAGGCATTTGCGTTAACGCGTCTAGATTTCCTAAATGTGAACTAAGTTTTATTATAGTAACATTGCCTTTTAGGCACGCGTCTAAATTGCTCTACTGTAAACCGAGCCTTAACAACGAAATTACTATTTGTACGCGTATCAAGCGTTGTGCGCACAGCGTGCGCTGTTTCCTGTACTTACTGACGCGTACGCGCATCCGCTTTAAGTACGCACATCCGCTTTAAGTACGCGCAAAGTAAAACTTCGTTCCCACTAGAGCAATCATCAACACGTTTAAATTGCTCTAGTACGTTCGAAAACCTCTCCCACACATTTAATCCTAGAGTGCCCATTTAGTAGTGTTATTTTTTATTCCAAATGTTGGCATCATTTTAACAGCTGAACGCGGGAGATAGAATGACGAATGATCGCACATGATATGAAATGTCTTTTAAGAGATATTTGAGTCAAGAGTGGATATCTCCATGACAACTTAATTCCATTCAGAAACAACTTTTTCCATCACACTCAGCGCTACACTTACCACAGTGCTGTAATTGCAGCAATCTTTATTAATGTGATTTAAAGACAAACTTGTCTTATCAAGTGTGTGTAGAATTACATTTGTGAAATAATCGTAGGATAGAATGTGACATAACGATCATTGCCCTTATCCAAACTGATTTCTGCTGCTAATAATAAATGTACAAAAATACAAGGTGCAATAATAGTGATTTGTATGATGTACACTTATTAGTCAAGGTGTTGTTAGATGTTCGATTTTGTATCTCGAGAGAGTTTATTTGAAGCCTTTATTTGCTGTAGCTTTGTCTCTAGGCTAGGCACTTTAGCTGGTTTTTTTTTTGTTATGTCGCTGCGCCAAGGCGTTAATGTCTAAGCCCTATGGGATCTTAATGTCAATTTGCTATATGCATTTATATAACGTGATACCTAATTCACTTAAAGCTATTAAGGAACCCATACAACACAAACAGCGCGTAAGACTATGCAAGGGATAAATTTAATGCCCACTTATACGCAGAAAATACAACGTTACATTAACATATGTATCCATCAGAGGTTCTCACTAAAAAATCTGACGTATTCTTAATGAGACAATTAGCTTTGAAATTGGCAACGCATGCAATGAGAATGGACCACTGAATGAATTTTTCTAAAATGTTAGGTTCCCTACGACGTAAACTGTATTCACGCATCTTTCAGTAAATTCTAGCTCTGGGCATTACTCATAATATTATTTTAATTTAGCACGAAGACTTAAATCTGGGATATAAAAAGGTGTGAAATAAATAGCCTATTCGCCAAATTTGATTTAACCTTGTAAATATTTTCCCACAGATGTCAATAGCCTTACATGCCTATATATATATATGTTTAGTATGAAGACTTAAATCTGGGATATATAAAAAAAGGTGTGAAATAAGTACTGTTGCATATTCGCAAAATTTGATTTAACCATGGAAGTTATTTCCCTGCATGCAATAGCCTTATAGGCCTATGAGTACATAAGATCACCTGTGGATTACACAGCCTTACGTCATCAGTGGTCTTCAAACCAGCTTAGTTACAAGCGCGGCAACTCCCACTTCACGCCCACATTTATGGAGCTTTCAAACGGATTTAAATTTTGGTATTTGAAAATTAATAAAATACAAGAAAGAAAGAGAAAAAGAAAGAGAGAAACACACAAAAACAAACATACCATTAAGTTAATTTTTATTGGACCTATATTATTATAGGACTATATTTTATTACATGTTCATGTGTGCATGCACTATAAATAAAAGAGATCTGTGTGGCACCTTTCACGTAATGGTCCTTTATTATTTTGCAAACTAGTACAAGTACACATTATATTTAGACCAAATTAAAAATGTAGACCTATAGCTTTTTAATGAGACGCACTATTGTTTGGGTTTCTTGTACCAAACGTTTCTCTATATTATGTGACGATATGAATACAGTATTTTGAAAGAATTCAAATCAATTTAAGTCAGTTCAGAGTCAATAACATTCCTATTGAGATAAGCAATAATATTTTATTCTTAGCGTCCAGTCAACTTCAGTAAGTACAACACAAATTATATTTTTTGTTTGATTTTAAGAGCGTTCATAATATAATTGTTCAACACCATAATTATTGATAGGCCGACGTTACGTATGTATTTCGGTAACTTGAAGCCCCTTCAGGCGGTAACCAGGAACCTAAAGCCGCCAATTACAAGGCCTAATATATCGAAAGAATGTTTTGTTGTCTTAGTTACGATACCGGTAACTGATATAGGTATGTATCAAACTGTGAATGTATAATTTAAGTACAATTAGTAATAAGTATTATTAATAATAATAATTAATATTAGTTTATTATTATTGTATTATTATTTTTTATTATTTGTATTAGTACTATCGTTATTTCTGTATAAATATTATTGTTTTATATTCTGTATATGAAAGGGCAGATTGAAATGAAGGTTCTTTTTTGAAAGAAAAATCCAATTATATTGATGTTTTTTAATTCTCTGGGAGAAAGTTAAACTAGATTTGTTGTTTAAACATGAATTAATAAAACGATAAAACTTCCATTGGGATATTTGCTCAAATTCACATCGTTACCGTTATCCTTTTAGAATCCCCCATTCGGGATTTCAGGGAATGAATCACTCCATCCAATGACAGGTATTGTGTTAACAAATGGAACAAATGCACAAGACTCAGACAGTAAAATATTTTTCCTGTACCGTTTATTATCATTATGGCTATTATGTTTGCATCAGAGTTAAGAGCTGGAACTTGTAAACACCTACAATATGTAGTGTACTCTGCGCTGACATGAGCAGCGATGCACACCCACAAGAAATTGAGAAACCCATAAGAAATACGCGGAAGTGGTCATACATTCTTGATTGACTTTCCGCTAAGACACGCCCCTTGGTCCCACAAAACGACAGCGTAAACCTACGTACACACGTTCATTTTGTGGGACCACACGTGTATTTGTAGGAATAGCGCAAACTGTTCTTATTGGCCAGTTGTTACGTTTGATTGACACTCCAGAAATGTCCCATAGTTTTCTTGTTAATCCAAATCGCTGCCCATGTCGGCAAATCAATGCTGAATGCGCATTTTACTTTTTCTATACTCTGATGTTTATGAAAATACACCCACTCTGTAGCATTAATTGACTTTTACTACGTCATTACTCTATGTAGCTTATTCATTTTTTTTTTTTGTAAATTTATTATTTCTTATGCGTCATGGACCATAAGAAAAGCTTAAATTTTAGCAGAGTATATTAAATAAATTATTTAGGTTGAAATTATTTTGTTGGAAATTGTCTAACTGTCGTATTTATCTATAGATTGAAAGTGATTATAAAATAAATAAATGAATATTAGTTAATTGGATACGTCATCTATATGATTTTTATTTCTTGTAATAATTTCAGATTAAGGAATGAAAGGTGGTCAAAACATAATCATTAATCCACGGGCTGTACATAAGACAGACATTTTCGCCGCTAAGCTCCTTCCTTTGGCCAATGTCACTAAGGTCCCCTGAAACGTATTCCTGGCCCTTTTTTGATTGACAGCTGTTAAGCTTGACACTTGGGAAGTTTCAGCCTAAAGAGCAGCTTAGCTCAGTGTGTGCGCTGAACCTTGGAGATCTCTGGGTCCCCGGTTCAATTCCCATCGCTGCTCTCCTTGTGTTTTAGCCGAAGGGCTGAAATGCAAGTTACGATAGTCACCGTCTTTCGAATGAGACATATGCCGTTGGTCCCGTGTGCATTATGGCCCATGTGCACGTTAGAGAACACAGTACACTCTTAAAAATAGTAAGGTGATTGTCTCTCAGTGTACTGTTCAATCGCCACCAGAAGGACCCCACACTGGAATTTAGTCTTCTTCAGACTTCCTTGTGTTATCCTTTGTGTTTTCACCGAATAAACTATCCATCCATCTAAACGTCACTATCCCAGTCTTCCACTATAATTTTTTATACGCAATATCTTTGCTACCCTGTACTATTCTTAACATGACCTCGCAGGCACGGTTTATAATTCATGTATTAATTTTTTTAAACGTTTACAGAGTAAAGTGTAGATGCACTGTGATTCACAGAACCGCCAGCTTTCTTCCTATGAACTAACATTTCTGCCTCTGCAGCAGTGGGAATTGAATACAAGAGTAGGCTACACATCATAATTTGCGGCTACATGTATTAATAACTAATGTCTTTAGTTATTGGGCTGCTGAATACAAACATAGTATTATGATAGGTTTTGAACTGTTTAATTAGGCGTGCGTTAATCTGGCGTAACACTATACCATGTACGCTACTTTATCGGTTTTGTCGAACCTAACGAACCAGATTTTATTTTCCGATAACGCGTCTTGTTACCAGGCTGACAAATGCGTCATAAACTTCAGAGCGTTTAAATCTGACGCAACAGTAACTACAGTATTCTTATTTCTGGAACACTCATTATGCCAGGGACATATTGCGTTTAGTCGACGCGTCAACACCATCGACCAACCAATCCTTGCTCTCTATGGACGCTTGATGACGCGTTTGGAGATTGTCAGTGACAGAATGAGTGGATCGTCATTAAAAATTGCGTTCCCAATAAAGTCGCGTCGGCCGGGTCGGCGCAGTGTGTGCCCTCCGGCTTAACTAATTAATCAGTTTTGTTTTCAAAGTTCTCAACACATAAATATTTGTTTAGAAAAACGAAGAATCGCAGTGCAAGTGGTAGTACTCAGATAATAAGTGTAATGTTTGCATAACAATATAAACCAAAGGGTTTATCTTATGATAAGAGATCATCCAATAATAGTTTTCATAAGCTTAATCAATTCTGTAAAGTGGTACACTCAACTCAAACGATCGGCTAAATTAATCCATTTCCATAAATACGGAGTGTTACATCAAACCATATACTGTAATGAACAATTTTCAATAACATAAAACCAAATCTTGTTTAAGGATTAAAAATAATGTACTAAAACATACATACATGCAAACATTTATTTATATTAAAGAATAATATTTAAAGAAAGTATAGAATAAAGAATATATATATATATATATATATATATATATATATTCTCTTATTTATATTATTTTTTCTATTTATTTACTTACTTCATGATACTAATCGACTGGATATTGTCACTCTATTTTTTTTATATACAATATATTATGTATATAAATATATAGTCCTGTATTTGTAATTCATACTATATGGCCTACATAATATATATATATATATATATATATATATATATATATATACATATATACATATATATATATATATACATATATATATATCCGTATAAATATAATATGCAATATACAGTAAACAAATTTATATCTGAAAATAATAATAACCATACTCAAGTACAGAAACATGTGATGTTATAACCGCATATCCCTTTAACTAAAGTTTGTTTTTCTGTATGGAAATAGTGCTTTGGCAGGATTCGAACTGCAACCTGTTGCTATCAAGGCGAGTGCCATACTGCTTCATCTATTTATTTATCTTGTATTTTGAATGGACCTACAAATCTCTTGCGGTACATCAATGATGTGCGTTTCCTAATTCATAAGCACGTGACTTCAGGTCAATTCAGCCGGAAGTATCTCTTGATACTGAAGTGTTATTTGGATGTTTGAAGTGGTCCTGTGGCCTAGTAATAATAATCTCTCTGTCTCAATAATTTGATGCGTTGTTCCTCAGTTATTAAAGTTACACAATCAATGAGTTATTCAGCGATAGTCTTAAAACCCAATTTACATGTTTACTGAGGACTCCAAAGGGAAAGTATTTTTAATTGGGTTTTAATCAACAAAGCGGAACGTTTAATTGTCTAACATTGCTAAGTACACAAATCATTAAAACTCGCATTCATTAAGAAAACAATTAAAAGTTAATTAGAAAGATTCCACATTCAAATTTGCGTACAACCATTGTTTAAAACTATCAAAGTTATTGATAGGCGTTTAGGCCTATATCATGATCTGTATAAAATCAATGCAAACCTGGTGTGGAATTTTATGAAATGTGATAGGGTGGGCCTCTACTAATCCTGACTTTATAATAGCTAAGATCCCACTAACTTGTGTATCACGTGTGTATACACGTGGGTGTACACGTGTGTATACACGTGCGTATCACGTGCGTATACACGCGCGTTTGTGAGACAAGCTCGTATTCCTGGCGCTGTTCTGATTGTTGTTATTCTTGATTGACACTCCAGTAATACGGTAACCATTTAATAAAATTTGGAATTGTGAAAGTACCATCTCAGACAGTAAACTCTCTCTTCCTGACAATTAGCAAGATTTTAAAAAAAAATGTTAGATAACTAGATTCATCATATCAGCAACAGATATTTATATAGCAAATTGATATTTTTTAAAGCAGATTAATTTTCTAACGCAATCAAATGCCATTTTTTTATCGGCTTACTTCTGCGTTGAACAATATTGGTGCATCATGTATTCTTGAATAGAGGAGGCTATAGCACTACAGTACGTTAGTTTACTGTGTGTCGACTTGTAAAGAATATCTTCGTATACTATGTTATGATATAACTTTAGGTATATCCTCACTTGATATTGGATGCCATTTTCTTGGTTATGATGGCAATTGCGTTTGGCAGTAATGTTATCAAGTGTTACTTTAAGGTTGTATCGATTAGTCTCCGACCGACGTACATTAATCTCTTTTACGACTCAGCGGTAGTGGAGCGCTTTTTTCAAGGGAGTGCTCGAAATGATTCCGACGATCGAACATCCCTTAAGTGCTCGACTTTCTAACATTATCTAGCAGACACATTTATAACGATAACGTTCATGCAACGCAAACTAGATGAAAATTGTCCGGTGATTCATAGTGTTGATATACCCGATCATCACTACTCTAAAGTCAGAAATCGCAAAATGAAGCAAGCTTGTAAAATAAAATATTGTACTGTCATGGTGCACGATATATGGTCATTACGTTTTATATAGTGATCAAATTAGTTATTAATATCTCAACATTATACATGCTAAACATTAAAAAGGATAAAAACATTTTCGTTAGCAAAATCCAACACAAACTTTTATGGCCTATCTGTTACAGTTTAGCATTCATCGAAAGGTTCCGGGTTCGAGACTTGGGGGTTTACTTATATACTGTACTTATGTCACGTTTCATGCACGGTATTATTATCATCGCCCGAATTATATTTCACTGATCAGATTAATATTCTTTTCTTTATTCGTCTAGCTCTTGGTTGCGGTTGCGTTGTCTGTAGCTACGACGCCATTGGCATGAACTCGTTGTGGAGTCTGTCTTTATACAACACGCAAGGAACCTTCGAATCTATACAGCAGGTTCGCTTCATTTCTCTATAACAATATTAATTTCTAACTTCATTATTCAACCTTGTGAGAGATTTAGGAAAGGGGTCCCTGGTTCCCCTCCCTGAAAACTGCCCCAAATTTAATTGTGCCTATTTGGGCCAGTAGATATGTGTGCTGAAAATGAACAACAAACGATATATTGAAATCAAAATAGAATAGAAAAGCATGAATCAAGAACAGTGCTAATGAGCAATAACCTCTGAAAATGTAAGGAAATTAAAAAAAAAAAAAAAAGAAATCCCAAAACCAAATGACCAAACTAAAATAGATTTAACAAACCAACGTCGTAAAATCCAAAATCTGGACAAACAGCTTGAATTAATTCGGCTGTTTTTTTTTTATATTTTAAAAAAATATTCTTTTAAATTTATTTTCTTTTTATTTCTACCGTTAAATTCTGAATCTGTCACTGATGTGTTGATTCGCTTTACATTTGTTTGGTTTAGTAAAATATAATATGTATTTTTTGAGAGAAAAAAAAAGTAGTTTCCATTAGAATCCAAAGCCAATATGCACAGAATCTGGTTGCTTGCTTCGAATGTTTGGATTTTTCAGTTGGGGAATCCGGGATTTTTCTTCGAAGTACCGAAAGGCATTACGCTTTTAATATATTTAGTTAATACTTAAATATCTATCACAATAAATGGCACTTATGCCTATGTATATTCAGGTAGGCCTATAAGCTTTTAGCTTATTTGTTGATTTAAATAAAAAGGTGGGGGCGGGGTTATTTCTATTTAATTGCTTTAAGTTAATCGTATGCATCCGGATGGTCACAGCAATAATATGTGATCATGACAGATATTGGAGAAGTAATGGTAGGGTGGGCTTATACCGAATATCGCATAACTCATTACCGTCATCAAAGCATTGCATTGGAAACTCTGAAATAGAAGTGTATAGGCTTGTATGGGCTTATACTCAAGAAACATCGGTACAGTACATGATTATCGTATATGCCATGATATTAATACATGTGCCTGTTTACTTAGTATGTGACACGCGGTCTCTTTCATGTGTTATGATTGCAGGTTTGATATGCTTTACCTTTATAAAAAAAATGGAATTTAATATGAAGCTCTTCGAACCAAATCGCAAAGTATCCGGTAATAAAATTATTGATAGGATCGTTCTAGAATACCCTAGATGTTCCGCGCAAGGGTACAGTAACTGCTAAAATTATCAAGATCTCTGTCTGTAAAATTTCAAACTATAATTTGAATATTTCCTAATCTTGATAAAGAAATATAGAAGAGCAATAATACGATGGTTGTATACAAACATAACTCATTAATTGCTATTATCAACACTTTTTTTTTTAGAATCGCGCACCTGCAAGAGAATTGTAGGCCAATATCATGCATGGTAGGTCTGTATAATGCAACATAACAATATCGATTGATAATTACCGGAAGACGTGTAGTAAATTAGGCTTTCACTATCACATTCTTTATCATCATTATACCAGCCTATAATATTTGTTTCCATTTTTTTCACATTTATTTTTAAATTGAAAACGCATGTGTGCGTGTAAATATATCCGGAACACATTAATTAGAATATCTAAACAAAGATTTTATTAAATTAATAAAGTTGCTACGCATTTGTTATTTGACATTTTGACTGATTCGGTAATTTCTAATAGTGGTTTACAGGTGTGATTAATCAGCTTCAATGGGCGGTAGTTCTTTTAACAACAAGGCTAACATCTCGGTGATGCATTAACACAGAACCTTCTGCATTTCCACGCGACAGGCAAGATAATAAATAATGTCCGATGCCTTCATTGAGCTCTATTAGCACCTGGATGCTCCACCTGAATAGCCACTGAGGACATCTTTAAAGCTAAAACACAACGTTATTATAGTCATCAACACGAGTTGTAAAATCTCGACATACCCCATTACGTGCGGAGTGATAATATTCGTGTTTTTTTTTTCTCAGAATAAAATCTGGCATGATCAATTACGTTATATGAAAGAAAATAACATCTTAAAAATCAACCTGGAATACAAAATTACAATAAAATTGAAGAATAAACACCACAAGCAAATAAAAATATACAAATGCATAATTTTATTTGAACTTTGCGAAGTTACAATACTATGAAACAACAGCTCATACGCGTGCGGTTGTCTATGTTCACAGTAAGTTGTAAAATCTAAAAACTAACCAGATATTGAGGTATACTGCACACCAATAAGAAATCATGACAGTGCTAACATAATATTTCACCCGTGGGAGTTGATATAATACACAAAGACGGAATTATATAAATACTGCTCCTCATGAGACAGGTAGTAAAAATGTGATGCCTATGATTTTGGCCGAGCGACCGACATCTACATCTACTACTGTTTACAAGAAAGATATGAATTTAGAAATAAGGCATACAATTTGAAGATACGGTAACAGAGATTGATTTATAAGTCATTTACATAATGTTAATATGTTGTATTTTTATCCGACTTGTATGTGATTTTATAGGCCTATGACTGGTTGTAAGGTTCATACTAATGTAACATTAGAGTTATGATTATAATATTTGTATTCTTGACCTGAATGATCTCTTCAAGTAACCACCCTGAGTGACACGCCTTTGCATCTCTAGTACTAATTTGTATAACACAGTAGACTATGTGTATGTATATAGTATAGTATATACAAAGTTTTTAGTGCTACGCAGCAAACTTGATTTAAATATAATTTAGGCCTACTATAATTTTCCCAGCTGCAACCTTCAAGCTTTTCTATCTTAACCGCAGCTCCACTGTGTGTGAGCGTTTCAGTGAGTTGTACGAGAGAAAGTGCCTGGGGGTTAGATATTCGCCTATATCCAATAGGTCTCCGTGGTCTAATGGGTATGATACTGATAGTGAAAGGATACCGGTTCGAATCCTGTCTGACGACCCCCTTTTTATTCAATTAACTTTTCGTTGATGAGCTATGCTTAATACACATGTTCCTATTCGAGCAGTGTTTTCATTTATCTTATAGTATGTATACACACACACACACACACACCTGTCTCTTATACACATCTAGATGTGTATAAGAGACAGGATCCTATGTGCATATATATACACCCGCCTGTATTTTTTTTTCTGTACGATATGATTAAATTGATTTATTGAAATACAACCGCATGCACAGATATAATTTGGTGTAGGAATGAGCTCCAGCGAGTACGTGATTTCATTGTCAGACGAATAACAGTGAGTTTGAAACAAATACTTAGGACCCCGACTTATATTCTATATATATATAGGGCGCTGTAGGTTATAATATTAAACTGACACTATTATAAAGGTTATATACATTTTAGATTTATCGTTCAGATGTAATTTATAGCAAAATTTATTCAATTATATGTATATATATACATATATATGTATAAATCCATATATCTGTTACATATACTATATATAAACCTATATATATAGATATACACACATCTATGTAGGACTATATATAGTATATGTGACAGATATATAGTTATATATATGTATATATTTGTATACGTACATATATATATATATGTATATATATAAATATATATAATATACCGTAATAAGTTATGCTGTGTAGTACTGTGAACACAATATATAATACATTTATCTATTTGTTTATATATATATATATATATAGGCCTATATATGTATGTATGTACTGATATATTAACAAGTTTCAAGGTATGCATTACCTAATTATCTTAATCAATACAAAAATACACCTCGTTATTGCAATAGTATCGGCTTGTTTGCATTGTTAATCCAGCAAATGAGCGGAGCTATACGAGAACAATATCTATAGACAAACACTAACGATTATACAAAGACGGATCACGCGTGCGCGTGTGCATGATGTTTCGTCAAATCGAATCGAAGCAAAATACCAATAAATCAATCGTTGTGCTAGCTTAATTAACCAAGGGGGTCGATATGGTCCGGAAATAAACAAAAGATCTTTGCAAGACAAATTACAGCAGTTGACTGCTTGAACGAGGAGATTTACCGGAATTGGACAACACGCGCCAATGTTGTGACGTAAAAAAACCCGCTGTAACGCGTCAACCGATGTCGACAGAGTAGTAAGTTTATGGCCTTGTTTTAAGTTGCAACTTATGATGCGACTAGCGACTCAAACTTTGTATATTTCTCAGGAAAATGGGTCGCTTATTTAAATTTTAGTCACATTAGCCGATCAATATCATTCATCATAGTGTGTCACATTCAAGCCAATTTCTTTGAGTCCATTGTGTCTAGAATAGTGAAAGGTTTTGTATGAAATTTACAATTCAACTTAGATTTATTCAGGTAAGTAATGACGTCCATTAGAAACAAGAAAACGTACAAAAAACGGGATCTAAAATGCTTGTTCCAGGACTAATACATGACACTGGCAATAATACACATTGTTACCATTCTAGTGTCAATACATAGGCCTATATTGCAATATCGTAACGATATCATTTTTGTATAAAAAATGAATTAAGACAATGATGGTGATAGTAATACAGCGACGATATTAACGATGATGATACAGATATTAATTGATTGTCAAAACGACCACAGAAAATGATGATAGTGAATTGTATGATGGGAAACCACCCACCAATAATCAAGATTATAGTTAGATTTGGGGGGGGGGGAAGGGGGTCCGTTTTATGCTTAACTCAATATACTGTTATTAAACTCTGTATAGTAAAGTACGGTACAGTATTGTATAGAATGACAGTAACAGGATAAAAATATAACATTTCATAAGAAAAGGCTGATTTCCAAAATAATACACCCCATTCACTATGATGAATGTCATAGAAACTGCATTGTGATAATGCTGTTTTAAGATAGTCAAAGTTGGTTAACGAACAATTTAGGCATAGGACTAAAGCTGGGCACTCACTGCGTCGTACGACGGTCGTCGTACGACGCATGCATCTCTGCTCCATGAGCCGACGCCGTCTGCTG